CTTGTATTGTGTTTTATTATATTATATTTTATTTATTTCACTTTATTTTAGTTGTGGAGTACAAGTGAGGATTTATTACGTATGTAGGCTGCATGCAGTAAAGTCTGGGCTCCTAGCTGGCCCTCTCTCCCCCCATAGTGGACTAGATGCCCAGTGTGTTTCCACAGGTCCCCTCCCTTCTTCCTCCCTTCCCCAGCAGTGTCCAGCGTTTGTTGATCCCACCCTTGTGCTCATGCAAACTCATGTCTTTCCGACTCCACTCCCATGCCTCTCCTAGCAGCACTATAGTTGGGGCCTGGGTCTGCATGTGTCCATGTGCCTCTTCCACCAGGACCCTCCTGATCCAGGCTCACATAGGTGGTGACTACCAGCTCAGGCTTATTTTTTGCAGACTTTCTTTGTCATGGGTCACAGTGCAGGTGGCCTAGACACCAGGGTGTGTGTGTGGAGAGAGAGAGAGAGAGCTCACAGGAGTTTCCACATGAGGCAGTCCCTGGAGACTCCTTCCATGATTTCAAGTTAGGAGAATTCCCTCAGTATCCCAAAGCAGAATTTTGTTTTTGAGTTGGAGTCTCACTCTGTCGCACAGACTGGAGTGCAGTGGCACACTCCCAGCCACCACAGCCTCGACCTGCTGGGCTCCAGCAGTCCCTCTGCTTCAGCCTTCCACGTTGCCAGAACTACAGGTGTGCACTACACGTCCGGCTAATTTTTTATTTATTGTAGCGATGAGGTCTCACCCAGTTGCCCGGGTGGGTCTCGAACTCGCAGGCTCAGGCAATTCACTCGCCTCGGCCTCTCAAAGTGCTGGGATTACAGGCTGAGCCACTGAGCCCGGCCACAAAGCAGATTTTGACTGTGGTCCCTATTGACTGGATGAAACTCAGCCAGGCCTGGTCTCGTGACCCACTGTAAGCCCCCTATCATAGCTTGGGTCGGTTTAAAAAAACACCATAGACTGAGTGACTTACACAATAGACCTTTATTTCTCACAGTTCTGGAGGCTTGAAGTCTGACTGAGGTCAAGATGCTGGCAGATTCAGTTCCTGATGAGGACTTTCTGCCTGGTTTACAGATGGTTGCCTTCTTGCTGTACCTTGCATAGTAGGGAGAAGAAGTTTCTCTAGTTTCTCTTTCTCTTCTTTTAAGAACACTAATCCCATTATCCTCTCCCCACACCCCGGCGGGCGGGGGGGTGGGGGGGGGCTTTATCTAAACCTAATTACCTCCCGCAGGACCCATCTCCTAATACCAGGACTTTAACATTTGAATTTTGGAGGAACATAATTCAGTCCAAAGCACCCCCAGAAACCAGTACTGTGGACTGTGCATTCTGGTGACCTCAGATGGCGATAAACTTCCCAGGACCATCTAAGCAGCTTGGTCAGAACCTGAGTTGGGTCTGTAGCTAGTGAAGGTACAGTTGGTTTCCTGTCCCCAAGTTATTGCTGCCACTGATGGCTGTGGAGACAGTGTCCTCTGTCCTCCTTGGGGGATGTCTGTTGGCTACAGTCTTACTCCCTGTGCTTTCTCCTTCAGGGCTCCTGGGGAGGATCTGAGCAGGGCTCCAGACTTCCAGCCTCACAGCGTGGGCCGCAGTGGTGACCCCTCCCAGGGATAGTGGAAGTACTTTAGCAGAATCCACAATGACAGTGAGTCGCCGTCTCTGGTAGCAAGTTGGATGCACCCAGCTGTAGCCTCTCCCTTCATCAGGACAACTGTGTCAGGCAAGAGGAAGAGGGTGACATTCTAGTTAGGGAGAGAAAACACACTAAGAAGCTTCTGGAAAATAGTTCCAAGGCAATATATGTACAAGTTCAAGTTTATCCTAGTCCACAGTCTCTTCTCTGCAATTCTGATACACAAAGATCTCTAAATATTAGAAATGTTTCTCAACTTATTTAGTGGCAAAAAGTGACCTGAGCAGATGGATGGCGCTATGTGGCGTCTGCACTGAATCCACCTAAAGTGCATCTTCTCATTTTCTAGCCTGAAACATTCAGGTGACTGGTTATGGAGGGCAGCACCAGCTCAGAAGCCCCCTGGAATCCATGGGGGGGTGGATTCTGATGTCAGCCTCCAGTCAGATGTGCTTGAGCACAGAATCAGAAATTTGACAGAAAACCTAGGATAAGCAGAAGCAGGACCCTTGTGAGTCTCCTGGACATTGCCTCTCAGAGAAGTAAAATATATGGAGCGTCACCACTAATGTCAAGTGCCCTCCACTCCCCTCCGGCTCTATAAATGCCAGTGAGGCCTAAGGTATGGCTTCCTGGCACTTTCTACTTTGGCAAGAGCGATGCCATTAGCCTTCTGGAAAGCACAGCCGTAGAGGAGTTAAGGGTTGAATTTCATGCCCCCCGAGTGCTTTTGACCTTAATTGGACATAGAGGCCTTTACAGAGGTAATCAAGTTAAGGGGACCATGAGGGTGGACCCTCATCTAATATGACTGGTGTCCTTATTATTATTTTTTCTGAGTTGGAGTCTCACTCTGTCGCCCAGCCACTCCCGGCCACTGCAGCCTCGACCTGCTGGGCTCCGGCAATCCTTCCGCCTCAGCCTTCTGAGTAGCCAGAATTACAGGCACGTGCTACCATGCCCGGCTGATTTTTTGATTTATTGGAGAGATGAGGTCTCGCTGCCCAGGCGGGTCTCGAACCCACGGGCCCAGGCAATCCACTCACCTCAGCCTCCCAAAGGCGCAGGATTACAGGCTGAGCCACCGAGCTCGGCTGACTGTTGTCCTTATTAAAGGGCAATGTGGATGCAGGGAAGACGATGTGAGAGATACAGGGAGAACGCAGCGTGGAAACTGCAGTGATGCTGCTACGAGCCCTGGCACGCCAAGGGCCGCCAGAAACCGGATGAGCCAAGGATAGAGTCTTCTATTGCTTTCAGGGGGGCTGTGTCCCCGCTGACACTGTGATTTGGACTCCTGACTTCCGGAGTTGTGAGACAATACATTTCTGTTGTCCTAAACTACTAAGTTGATGGTGCATCGTTACGGAAGTGGCCTAAGAGACTAACACAGACGGGCTCCCCAGACCCATTCTCCTCGCAGCAGCTGGAAGATCACAAGATGTCCAAAGGCTCTCTCTCTTTCCTCTCCTCTCTCGGCTAACTCGGGGAGGGGCTCTGGTGTTCATACTCTGTGATTGGCCTCATTCTGGGCTTTCCTCATGTGCCCAAGCAGAAGCAGAGGCAGGTTCTGTGAAGAGGAGGCCACGATCCTCAGAGTGGAGGTCTCCATCCTGTGCTCACACATTTTTGCAGGCTTACTGAGCATAATTAGTTGATGATTCCACCGCTAGCCTAACTGTCAGGGTACATTCCTGAAAGCAGATTCCCAGGCAACTCTGTTTGCTTCCAAGGCTCCACTGCAGCCTTTGCTCAGAGCCAAGCCAAAGACCCCATGAACATGTTACCCAGTAGAAGAAACCAGATCTTCATAGATGGATGGCTTCTAAGAGGCAGCCCTGAGGCCAAGGCCTCCTTGCACTCTGGCAGAACTGAGGGAGCCCCAGCGTGCTGGTCTCCAACCCCTATTCCCTGAGCTGTGTTCCTTCAGTGCCCACCCTCAAGGAACCTCTCAGGACAGGAGGGCCCCAAGGTACCCCGACGCTGACCAGGAAATCAGACTTGCCTAGAACCTCCTTGGTCCCGATGGTCCTTAGGAAATTCACCTGGAAGCTCAGCCTTCTTTCTCCTTGGCCCGCCAGGCCGTTGCCCTGGGCAACCCAGCCCTCTTTCCTAACTCCCACCATCACAGTCAGGCAAATGATAACCACCCAAGGTCCCCAATAGGTGTACTGGTCTTGACATTGACTTTAGTCTTGTTTTTGCTTTTGAGTCAGAGTCTCACTCTGTTGCCCAGGCTGGAGTGCAGTGGTATGATCACGACGATCACGGCTCACAGAAGCCTCAACCTCCTGGGCTCAGGTGATCCTTCTTCCTCAGCATCCCAAGTAGCTGGGACTACAGGTGCACACCACCACTTATGGCTAATTTTTTCATTTTTTATAGAGATGAGGACTTGCTATGTTGCCCAGGCTGGTCTCAAATCCCTGGGCTCAAGCAATCCATCCGCTTCAGCCTCCAAATTGCTAGGATTACAGGCGTGAGCCACATCGCCTAGCCAGCATTACCTTTTGAAGAGGACAAAGCTTGAATTGGCCGAGGGAACCAAGCAGGTGTCTGAAAGAGCAGAGCCCTTGGGAAGGCTGAGCTGGCCAAGAAGAGCCCTGATATGCCAAAAGTGGGCCGGAAGAAAGCCCCACTCCTCAGTGAGAGCAGTGCAGGCAGGTTCTCATCTGGACATGTCACCCCTCTGCCTATGAGACCCTGGGATAGGCCTGACTTCTCAGAAGCCTAGGGCAGGGGCCTGGGATCTCCTCTCTGGGATCTTTGGGCAGGCCAGACAGACTGGCTTGGCCACCTTCCATCCAGGGATGCATATCCCTGACTGCCACCAAATGCCAACAAAGTAGTAAGGAAAAATGGAGGCATGAATTGAAAATCATCCTGGTGAAAAGCACAGCTTTGATCACAGGGAAAGGGCTGGGTCTTTTGGGGGATGGGCTATTTTCTGATTTTACTTTTACACATAGTGAAATGCACACCGATAGGATCTTGCTCTGCTGGTTTTCCTCCATACAAGCTGTTGGCTATTTGGGCGGGAGGGTGCTCCCTGATGCTGAGGCTTCTCCACAGTCCTTCACCTTCTCTTGTCTGTCTGTCTCTCTCTCTCTCTCTCTCTCTCTCTCTCTCTCTCTCTCTCTTTGGGCTCATCTAAACACATGGCTTGTTGCTGTCCCTGACATGTCATTGTCTCCCCCAAAGTCTCCAGAGACACAGAGCCCAGGGGCCAGCTCCCCTTGGGTACTTCAGACTCGGCAGGACCAAAATCAGCCCTAAGATGTCTCCAGCCCACATCTGCTCCCGCCTCCATTCCCCGAGGAGGCAGCTCTGAGTCGTTAGCTCCCTAGGCACAAGCCATGGATGGTTCCCTGCTGCTCTAAGGATACAGTTCACACCTTGCTGAGCACTCAGTCTGCTTCACAGATGGCTCTCATTGCTGTCCTGTCCTTCCTTCATGTGCAGTGCATTACCGGTCGTAGTGAGCTACTTGTCAAAATACCTGGGGGTGCCATGGGCAGTCTATGTCCATATCAGTGCCCAGGGTGCTAACTGTGCTGTCCTGAGGCACACACGGCCAATGGAAGAGCCCTCCAAGAGCATCGCGTCACACCAGATTCCCTAAAGGCCTCGGGCTGGTTTGCCCCCTTCTGCCTTTGCAGCTTGTCTGCCTGGCATGCTTTCCTTCAGTGACTTTGTCAGACTCACCCCACCCATCCAAAGAACTCACTTGCATTTCCTCTGGAAACACAGCTGGTCAGACGCGCCTCTCTCCGGTCCCCACCTTGACAGGCGCTGCTGCGCAGCATTTGCCTGTCGGGGCAGAAGCTGTGGCTTTCCTATTGGTCCCTTGCCATTGTGTGAGTTCTTCAAGGACAGGGTTGAGGCCCACTGAAGACCCAGGGGAGTGGACCCCAAAGATTGGGTTTTCAGGGACTCCCCCACCAACTGAGGCAAGTTGACCTGCTTCTTTCCGCAGGAGCTCTCCAAGCTGGGCCTGGGGTGTGACATGGAGGTGGAGCTGCGGACCCTTCAGCTGCCAGTAGATTACAGGGAGGCAAAGCAGAGAGTCACCCGAATCTGGGAAGATCTTCAACCGCAAGTAAATGATGGCTAGAGAGGCAGCAGGGTCGGGAGGCTGCTGGTGTGGTGGTTCCCAGAGCCCGGGAGGCCCCTGGACTTGGTTCTAGGGTTTATAGCTAAAGTGAACCCGCCCCCATGTCTCACCAGTCGTGTGATCCCAACTGATTTTGTAAGGTTCTGGGTCTGTATGTAAAAGCTTAAGCCAAATGTGGAGTAGGTCTTTAAAAAAACTCTGAAGAAAGAGAAGGAGGAAAAGAAATACAAGTATTATTCCCAGCCAGGAGTCAAAAAGTTTCCACGAAAGGGAGAGGCCTTGGGATTATCCCATACATACCCATGCGGGGCAGGTTGGTTGTGAGGTGGGACACAAGACAAGGCCTTCCTGAGGCTGGGAGGGCAGCTGACCTTGGGGGAGGGCCCATCTTCACAGCACCCAGCCTATTTTATTTGACATATGACTATGTAAAAAACTAGTATAACCCCCCCAAAAAAAACCCCTCCAAACACCAGGTGATGAAGTTAATAAAACACACATCACCAAGCCATTAAGACAATGCCTCAAATGTTTTGATAAAATACTCAGTGATGATTTTTCAAAGAGGAAAAATAATCAGCTCAAATAATTTTAGCAAGATTTTATTGGACTGCTACTAACTTCCTTTATTAAAGTTTCATTTTTTAAAAAAAGAGGTATGATTCCACCAAAGCACTAAACTTCTCCTGTGGTGGTCTTAGATACTTGATGACACTCCAGAGAATACATTACCCTGTAAGACTATTTTGAAATATAAAATATTTAAACATAAATACAACATGGGTTTCTATTTAGCTAAAAGAACCCAGCTGCTTTTTGTTCCAGTCATATTAATTGGAAGACGTAGGCAGGAGGTCCCGGGTTTCACGGTGGGTTTGGGGTTTGAGATGTTTTGCACCCTGGAGCCAGGCTCTCACAGGGCTTGGCCCTTGGTGACTGGGGTGGGCCTCAGTATCTGGGGGTCTCTCTGCTGTTGCAATTCACACAGCTTGCTGTGCACGTGGGCGTGGATACCTCCGCCAAGGCGATTTTTCTGGAACAGTGTGGCAAGAACCGAGGCTACTGGGATGCTGACATCCGGGGCTTCCGGCCCAAGGCGGGTGTGTGCCTACCGGGCGGCTCAGACATGATCGTGTCACAGGTCAGCATGAAGGCAGTCTGCAGGCGCGTTGCCGTCGAGGATGTCGAAGTAGCTTTCTCCCGAGATGCTGGCAGGTACATCTGTTCGTGTCAGGATACTAGGCCAAGATGAAAAAATGAATGGCCTTCAGTGCCCCCCATTCGAAGAGGCCATCCTGTACCATTCAGCCGGCCACTTGGTCACAAGGTGACCACCTCATTGTCCCTCTTTGCTGCCCTGCCGACCAGCATGGGTGCTCACACCTTGGCTGAAGTCTCCTTCCTGAGACTCCCTTTTCCTCAACATGACCTTTGGGGTGTCAAAATAGGAAAAGAGATGGGAAGACAGATTTTGAGAACCGCTAATGTAGAGTGAATGCTTTTTTAGCTTTATTTTTTTGGGAGACCAAAGTTGTGAGTTAACTACTGATTTAGCCTTAGATAAAGATTACCTTTGTTTCTAGAAACTGACCCCCCAGTAGGTATTTCTCCTCTCCCCAAGGAATGAATGAATAAATAACTCAATGAAGACATGAATGAGAGTTTCATCGTCTTTAGAGGTGTTTTAGGGTAGTTGACTGAAAATCTGGTCCCCTTCTGTCTTGGCCACTTGCTGGTCATAAGACCATGAGACCAAGAGCCAGGCTCCCCTCAGCTCATCCCCAGAACCATGTTCTTTCTGAAACAGAACACAGCTTAAGTCTCCCTGGGTGGCAGTCCCCCCATACTTTGTGGGTATAGCATTGCCACTTCGGCTTCCATGTCACTGAGCTTAGTGGCATTTCATGTGGTTGCAGATATGTCTGCGATTACACCTACTACCTGTCTCTGCATCATGGAAATGGGTACGCGGCACTCATTCATGTCCCTCCACTGTCGCGTGGGTTCCCTGCCAGCCTGCTGGGAAAAGCCTTGCAAGTCATCATCCGGGAAATGCTGGAGGAGAGAAAGCCCAAGCGCGAAGCTTGGTTCATGGAAAACTCGGCCTCAATGATTCCAGCCCAGGAGAACTGACTGGGGATGGCTCCTTTAGAGAAAATTGGCCGTTTCAATCTGGTGTGTAGAGTTCGCCTGTGCTTTGAGAGGCTTTTTAAAAAAATTGCTTGTAAAACAATTTACATAGAGGGGAAAAAAAATCAGAATTAGCCACAAAATAACAAAGGGTTATTTTATTGTCAGAAGAAAGAAGGACACTCTGAAAGGTGGACATTTTACAAGGGATGAACTTGCTTCAGTTATGGCTTTCATGACAATAACATGAAATCCTAGTAATGTGTTCTTCTAAAAGACTCTGCAGGGGGTCTGGGTGATCCCATCCAGATTGCTGGGGCAGACTTGTTTTGCAGAGGCCCGTGAAAGCAGATGTAGCCACTGTTCCAGGTGCCCCATTCCTGGTCTCCAGGTGCAACCAGGTCCTATGGGCAGCTTTGGAGCTACGGAGTCTCTAGTGTTTATTTTCTCTCTTCTGTTTTTACCCTTTCACTACCTGCTCATTTTCTTTTTCTTTTTTTTTTAAAGAGATGAGGTTTCATTTTGTCACCCAGGATGGAGTGCAGCAGCGTGATCATAGCTCACTGTAGCTTCCAACTCTAGGGGCTCACATGATCCTCCCACCTCAGCCTCCCAAGCAGGTGGGATTACATGTGCACCACCATGCTCAGCTAATTTTTTTTTAAGGCATGGGGTCTCGCTATATTGCTCAGGCTGGTCTTGAATTTCTGGCCTGAAGTGAACCTTTCATCTCAGTCTCCCAAGGTGCTAGGTTTACAAGTGTGAGCCACTGTGCTGGCCTCATTTGAATAATTTTTAAGTGTACAGTTCAGTAGCGTTCCATATATTTACATTGTTGTGCAACCATCACCACTACTCATCTCCAAACTTTCTCCTCATCCCAAACTGGAATTCTGTACCATTAAATAATAACTCCGCATTCCTTCTCCCAACAGCCCTTGGCATCTGACCATTATATCCTTCATCTCTATAAATGTGACTAGTCTAGGTAGCTCACATAAGTGGAATCACATGGTTTTTGTCCTTCTGTGTCTGTTTTATTTCACTCTGCATTGATCTCTTCCAGGTTCATCCACGTTGTACTATGTGACAGAATTTCATTCTTTTTTGAAGACTGAATAATATCCCATTAAACATTTCTACCACATTTTGCTTGTCCACTGTAAGCGGACACTTGCTTGGGTTGCTTCCACCTTTTGACTGTTGTAAATAATGCTGTTAATGTTGACACTGGTGTGCCAATATCTGTTTGAGTCCCGATTTCTGTTCTTTTATGCCTCTACCTGGGGTGAACTGCTGCATCAAATGGCAATTCTGTGTTAAATTTTTTGAGGAACTGCCATACTGTTTTCATATTAGCTGCACCATTTTGCATTCTCACCAGAAGGGTTTAGTCTTAAAGCAAATTGCCAGGTTTGGCATCTCTGAGTTAGAGAGAGCAGAATCTCCTTTTTGTTTCATCTTTTGTTTTGCCTTTATGATACTGCATTGGGTCTTGTGCCAAACTGCTACTGGCAAGGTTCTGCCTTCTAGTGTCTTCTAGGGGCACATTTCCGTCAGGACTCCTACTGATAACACTGTTTTTTGAGGAAGGGAGTGAAGATTGCTAAGCTCTGGGAAATGTCTTATTATGTTGGTGTGCCCACAACTACCACTTCTCACTTCATTACTGAATTTTAAAAATTCATAGGCACTTAGTGCCCAGATTCATTCACTGTGAAAAAAGGTACTTGTGGCTTGATAACAAAGGAACCAGACGGGCCTCGCCGTTTGCTGTGAGCCTGCCAGCACCCAGCACTTGTACATTTGGAATAGACTTTATAGGATCCCCTCTGCAAGGAAACCTGGATCACTTGACATAAAACAGATCAAAGGCACACCGTGGCAGATCAAAGCCAGCAGGTGGGGTGGAAAGGCTCTGGGCGGTGTGCACATGTCCGGCTGTACAGTGTGTGGTGATCCTTCTGTGCTTATGGGCAGACAGCTGCTGCCCAGAGCCCTCCACCCCCCAAGTTCAGCTCCCATCCCAGGACACTGGTAAGCAGGGCCCCCCTAGGACCAGACTGTGTTATTCTAGACTGCTTGGCGCCATGCCATACACATTTTAAAACCTTTTAGATACTATCCAGTTGGGAGGCCCAGAGCTTTCTTTTGATGAACTTCCCCATCACTTCCTCCTTTGCAGCCTCTGCAGTTCTCCAGGGAGAGCCTGAGAAGGTGTGATTACATCCTGGTCTGTGTATGGGGTTTGACATCCCTCGTGGATACACACTGGGGCTTGTTTAATTCAGGCAGTTGAGTCAGTCTGAAAACCACAGCATACAAGGCTGAGTCTTGGGTCGGCCATTTAACAGCTGGGGAGCCTTGGGCCTGTTTGCGTGTTTGACAATTTAGAAAACAGTAATTACAATCCTTCCTTTGCAGAATGATTGTGAACAGCCGGGGAAAGAAGGGCTATGGAAGTCCTTTAGTGATATTAACACTACAGAAACACACACCTGAGGCTGGGCGTGGTGGCTCACACCCATAATCCCAGCACTTTGGGAAGCTGAGGCAGGTGGGCTGCTTGAGCCCAGGAGTTTGAGACCAGCCTGGGTAACATAGTGAGACCTCATCTCTACAGAAAAATTAAAAAACTAGCCAAGCATGGTGGCATATGCCTGTAGTCCCAGCTACTTGGGATGCTGAGCCCAGGTCAAAGTTGCTATAAGCTATCATCGTCGTGACCATGCCATTGCATTCCAGCTTGGGTGACAGAGTTAGACCCCGACTCAGAAATAAAATAAAATTAAAACTAAAAACATACCTGAGTATGGACTTGTAGCTGGACCCATTGGGGTAAATACAGAAATCGATTTTCTTGGGCCCGAAGTCCTAAGAAGTGGCTCTGAGGTTCTAATGTTTCTGAGGACACAGCTCCTTCAGCTAAGAAACTGCTGCTCCTTCTGGCTGGACAGGCCAAGTGTAGAGAGCACTGTGGCAACCTGGGACACAGGGTCAACCTGCCCAGGGAAGGCGAGAGCTACACTTGGCATTCTAGACTTGCAAATGAGACCTCCTTGTCATCAGTCACCTAGTGCAGGGCCTCAAGTGCCAGTGACAATAGTGAGCAAAAATCCTGGGGCAATACCAGGCTTCAGGGTCCTCTCTTCAAACGGCCTTTTGTTTTTAGGTTCAAACGCTGGTGAGACTCAAGAGGTCTTAAGAAACTGTGGCCTGTGGTTTACTTTTCCTACCTACGCCTTGGGTTTAGCTCTTCATCTAATGGCCTGATTTTGTTACCGAAATATAATTTCCATGATCAAAATTTATTGAAATGACCAGCGGTCCTCCTGATGCTGTTGTCTATGTATCTTTGGTCCAATTCTAGAACACATACAGATTGTTTCCTTTTCCTACCATGACCATTTCCCCTGATACAAATGATGTTTCCATTGCAGGGTCCCTGGAGGCCGTCCTGAATCATTAATCCTCTACTAAAAAGTAAGATTTGGAACTGACAGTGAGCCACAGCCTGTGTGAGGCCTCTTTGGCTCTTGGCGGCCCCCTCTGAGGCAGGCATGTTAGCTGTGAGGTACCACCACAGACACAGGAAATGGGAAGGATGTAAGTCCTCTGCCCCAGAGTACCCAGGTCAAGCCTGCTTTGGCCTGACTTTTGTCAGCGGAAGGTAAAGGAAAACAGTCTACAAATCAAACAAAAATGAAGTACAGATTTCTGTAATTGATGTATTCAGATTTCCTGCCAGCTGATTTAATGGAGTGACAAACAGAATAGCTTCCCATCTCCACCTGCAATTTGCATGCTGCAAAGGTTCAGCTGTCAGAAAGCAGGCAATGCCCTCACACAGAACACTTCCAGGGGACATGTGTGAACACTTATGCCCCATGGAGTTCGGTGTCCCTGCCACAGATGTGTGGCGATGCTTCCAGGAAGCGGGGGGAAACAAACCCAGAGACTAAAATGCATACAGAATTCTTTTATTTAACTTAAACCATGTAGTACTTTAACTACTAGAAAAAAGCAGAGTAAGAGAAACTAAAGTTGCCTTAGCCTCAGCCATTCAAAATAGACAAAGTTTCTTTTTTCCATAATGTAAAGAATTCAGAGTATATCGCAATGAACAGGAATAAATTCTTACAACAGAATATACAAAAACATTTTGAAATTTTTTTCATCTACTGATTTTTTATATAAACAGAGGTTTTTAGGAATAATTTATACACAGTCATTTTATGTAACAAATTGGCCATGTTATTACCTCTTTTTTTTCGTTTTTAATTTTTTAAAAAAACTTCTTTTAAACAAGAAAACTCAGAAAATGCATTATTTGCGATGCGTTCATTCCATCGCGCCTTCTGGTTTGATTTTTTTTTTTTTTTTTAATCCCAGAGGTAGACAAACTCTGGCAAACCTCTCACCCCAACCTCACTGGCTTAGAAAGCAGACAGGTGTTTCTGCCAGGCATCTATTCCAACTGTGGATGTGTCTGTGCAATGCCAAACATCCAAATGAAAGGTTAACAACAAAAAAATAATAAATGGTTCCTGGACCTTTCTCTTATCTTTCTCCTAGGAAGTGCAAAAATTCCAGATGTTTCCAACGATGGGGTTACTGTGGAGTTGGGTAGACATGGCCAATCATCCTTTGGAAGCTAGAAGAAGCGGAATCAAACTCAAAGCAAAAAAATTGTGTTGTAGTTTTCATTAAAAAGAATTTGTTCTGTATTGGAAAAATGTTATCTTGGGTGTTCTGCCTTAAATAAAAATAAACGGGTCTCTTCCTTGTTATACTAGTGTTAATCATATGAGGCATGCAAGCAAATGGCTTGTGTGCCCCAGAACTGTCATCTTTCTGGGTGACCAATCTGCACTGTGATCATCCTGAAAACCACTTGCTGTTTTCCCTTCTCTGTGGCATTGCGTGACAATGACGACAACCAGACCAACCAAACTGCATGCTGAACAGTGCAGTGCTGGGCTGCAACACCTCTGCTCTTTCCA